GTAAACAAACAAACAAATAAATAGTCCGGCCCCCCAACATTCTGAGGGACTGTGAACTGGCCCAGTTTAAAAAGTTTGAGGACCCCTGCTCTTAAGAATCTCTCAGCAAAGAGAAGGTCCCTGTGTTATCACAAGTTATCTCCAAATACTGTAAAGAGGGTGATGTGATCTACCAGCTGCAATGTGCTCATTATATTTTAATTCAGCCTTTCCTCACATGGTTTCCTTCCAGTGTGACCGACTACAAAAATGGCCTTGCTGGTTGGGGATGAAAGGAGCTGTACTCCTATACAACTGATGGAACCTAACTGGGGGACTCTGCTTCATGCTCTTCCCTCAGATAATTCAACAAGTATTTGTAGCAAATGGGCAAAACAAACAGAAACAAAGATAAAATAATTATTAAATGAGGTATAAACAAATGAGATCCACATATGAGAAACTTACTTTACTCCGTAGCGATCCCGGAACATGATGTGGTTTCGAAAAGTGCGATTGACATCCAGATCTATTTGTTTGATTTCTGATGAGAAGCTTCTGGCTTGTTCTTTCATTTTCTGAGCAAATGAGGATGAGTTACAGTGTTAAAAAACTTTAAAATCAGAAGTGGAAAAACTTTTCTGGCCCTTGGGCTTCCTGAGCAACTTTCCAAAACTGTATATTTGCCTGCATGGAGGACCTTCATTCTCCAAAACAACACCAATCTGACTGTACAAGGCTCAGCCTCCCATGGTCAGAGAGTGTGGCAGAAAAAGACTCTTTTTTTTGTAATTAGAGACACAGAGTGAGACCTGGCCTTGGAGAAAGACCTGTTCTCTATCTCCAGAGCACTAAACTAGTGGGCAGAGTTTAGGGATTGGTCCCCCTAAACCCAGCACTTTATATTCTTATGTTTTCATGTGTTTTTCTATATTATTATTATTTGTCATTGTGTTGTTTTTATATGGACTCAATTGCAGGTTGTTAGTGATGATATATGTCACCTTGAGTTGTGTGCCAAGTGGGCGGCTATATAAATCGAATGAATGAATGAATGAATGAATGAATGAATGAATGAATGAATGAATGAATGAATGAAGCATTTCATTCTTTTAAGGTATTTCAAGATGAGGTCTCTTAGTGCTATTAATTATTACTCAACTGTCAAAAGTTACAAACAAAATTACTGGTCGTTCATATTTCAGGGATCTGGCATTTCTTCTGATATATGCACTTTTCTACATCCCCTCTTTAAAGCAGATTTCAGAAGTGTTTGCCTTTCCTTTTAATACATTTCACTGGTCACCACATTAACTGTTCTTTCTTCTCAGAGCCATTTTAGCAGCTTCTTTTTGTGTTTATTTGTGAGCGTTTCTTTTTTAAAATTCAAGCAGCCCAAATAAAAATTAAATGGAAGTTTCTAGTTTTTAAAAAGACTGCCTCCAGCACAGAGCAGGAGGACTGTAAGTTTATTTCTATTATGTTAATGCATTACGTTTCACCAATATCATTTGAAAATTCAGAAACTACTTTAATCAGATAACCAGATCAAGTAAGTTTTAGATCCAAACAAGTCAATTTTACAATCCAGCAATAAAACTTGCTGGCTTGATTTTTTTGTTTGTAAGTTGGTTAATCCAATTCTGATTTATAGATAGATAGATAGATAGATAGATAGATAGATAGATAGATAGATAGATAGATAGATAGATTCTGCAGCCTTACAGAATTACTTCTATACTCAAAAGTAAATGGTGATGTTTTCAATATATTCTACTAATTAAATAACTAATTGAAGTAAATTGGTTGAGGAAGCCTCATCCCAAAAAGCAATCTAAGGGAAAGGTGGTAGATTTCTGGTTTTGGACATGTGACTTTAAACCAGTAGTGCATAACAAGCAATAGAGAAAGGAAAAGATAATCAACCCCCTTCCCAGGGAGAATTTCTCCTACTTTGCTTTCAACCATATGTTTTCTTACTTCCACCATGAGGAACTAATTCCCAGAGTGAACGGTTTGGTTTCCTCTCCTTACTAATTCTGTCACTATGAATCTAGTCATAACATAAGAGGGCCTTTGCACACCTTCTGGTTGTGTGCCAGTTGCACCCATTCCTGGACCGGGAGGCTCTGTTCACTGTCACTCATGTCCTCGTGACCTCCCATCTGGATTACTAAAACATACTCTACATGGGGCTGCTCTTGAAGAGCATTCGGAAACTTCAACTGGTGCAGAATGCAGCTGCATGGGTAGTAAATGGTGTCGGGTACTCGGCACATGTAACACCACGGTTCGTGAGCTGCATTGGTTGCCAGTGTGTTTCCAGGTGCAATTCAAGATGCTGGTTCTCACCTTTAAAGCCCTTCATGGCTTCGGGCCAGGTTACCTGAGGGACCATCTTCTCCCAGTTGTTTCAATCCGGTCCAGCAGGATGGGCATGCTCTGGTCCCATCAGCCAAAGAACGTCGGTTGACGGGGACTAGGAGGTGTGCCTTTTCTGCCATAGCGCCTGCCCTCTGGAACATTCTCCCCCCAAAGATTAGAATGGCCTTGACCTTGTTGGCCTTTCGTAAGGCCTTGAAGACCTGGTTATGTACCCGGGCCTGGAGTCTCACGTGTGTTAAGGGCCCCGTTTCCTGGTTATGTTAACATCTATGGATTATAATTTTCTCAGCTGCTGTATATATTTAATTTTCTTTTGTATCATGTTTGTAATTTGGTTTTAATTGATTTTATGATTATTCGCCACCCAGAGTCAATTGTTTGAGATGGGTGGCCATATAAATTGAATGAAGGAAGGAAGGAAGGAATGGATGAATAAATAAATAAATAAACATGAACATCAGAACCAAACAGCTTTAAATAGCACTCTTCGTCAACCAATTAGCTCACAAATTTTTCACTAAGGGCTAAACTACTCAAGGAATAGCCTAACTAATATGCAGGCTTTTACAAATGAAAAATGTCATAAGGTGAAAGCGGTAATAATCAGGTCAGAGTAGGGACTAAAGTATGGATGGACTTTAATTCTTTCTTCCCTATTTTCTCTTAGGACTATACTTCTCTCAAAACTAGTCTTTGTTTGGGGGGGAAATTCTCCATTTTGGGAAAACTTTGGATTTGGGTTGTTTGAATATATATAAAAGCATTGCTAATCATTATTAATGTCTTCAATTTGGAACTGAACAACCCAGGTAGAATAGGGTCCAGTGAATGCATCTACAGCAGGGGTTCTTAAAATGGAGATAATTTGGGCATATCTGGGTGTAATGGAGCAATGTGTAATTGCTTGTTTGTGAGTTGAGGATCCTGTTTAGGACTGCTGCTACCAAGACACTTGTATAAAACAACAGAGTCTGGGGTTTTGGTGCAGAAAATGACATTATTGAAGACTGGAAAAAAGAGTAATTGAGTCAAGTAGTTTAAGAACCACTGATCTATAGGATATTGCAACATTTGATACTGTACATTTGGGAAAAAATAGTATCTCTCTAGTAACTCATTATGACATTACTTAATAGCAAGCACATACTTTAAAGTGCCTTACAGTTAGACTGTCATTTTATTTATACACACATACATACATACATACATATATAGGTTTGCCATAGCCTGTATAAATTACCTTCCCTTTTAACACTTCAAATCACAAGAATACCAAACATTTTGTACTACACAACAATTAAAAAGTATGTCACATTACAACAACACTACTTTAACTGCTGATTAATTCCTGCATTATTATCCACACTCAAGAGAATTATAAGCTACATAGAAGCATATATTTGCACACCAGACTTGATCCTGATTTTCAACATACCTGCTTTTTTTTTCTCTCTCAGCTGACTACAGATAAAAAATAAATTTCACTGCTAGAAATACCAAGAAGATACTCTGATTGAAAAAACTGTAACGAAGGAAATACTTGAATTTGCAAAAAGCGTTGCTGAGAGAGAAGAAATGGATGATAAAATGCAGAAAGGTCCATTGATTTCAAAGAAACCCTATGCTCCCATAAACAAAAAGCTTTTCTCTAACTCCAACTTTATTCTGAATAAATATCAAGTGGCACAAAGGATGGGGAGGATTATGAATAGCCGATTCCCAGGATTTATGTTCATGTACAGTCTATTATACTGTAAGTCCTCTAGTTATTACAGGTCCCCCCGGAGCTTAGTTCAACAGCTTGTGACTTCCGTTTATTCTGATCACTTGCTGTGAGGCATGGTCAAATAGTAACATCCTCTGAGGAGGATGCAATGGCCAAAATAAATAGAGAGGAACAGGCTCTTAATCTGTGTCGCTATCTGGTTTTATCTATCCCACTTCCTTTAACTTGTCATACCATGCTGAACTGACCACATTTTACGAGTCAAGCCATTTTTTTTTAGTTTCAAAATGTGTGTGTGTCATCCTTCAAAACCCGGTTAGCATGAATACTAAGGGCATGAGAATTACCTTTATTTTTAATAGCGACATAAATGTTAAAAATAATATAGGCTGTTGCATACCATGATGAAATTGCTACTCCCCTGCAGGACCATGTCTTTTGGTACTTCCAAATTCAACACTGACAATGGAAAAAAATGTTGCAGCAGTGACCAGGACTGCACTTTACCCACTTCAATTGGCACTACAGCTCTGACCCAATCCAGGGAAATGCAGTATCCAAAATGGACTAATATAATGGAACTTAAGTGAAGCTATTTTTGATTAAGAATCTTTAACACCCAGTTTGTTAGCCAGGCAAACCTTATTACATCAACTGTGTAAAAGATGCATCAGTTGTGTTTCTGAATCCAATTCAAATAACTGTTTTTTACTTTTAAAGATTTAAATGTTTTGGTCCAGGTAGCCTATACCCTTAGACACTTTAACACATGTTAAAATTACTAAGGATTTTTAAAATGTACTATTTCATTTGGCTTTTAACTGAAAACATTTATTATATATACTGCTTTTGGTGCTAATTCATTCCTTCATTGTTTAAAATTAACTGTTTATATTGATATGGAACTGTATGCTTTATAATTGAAAACCATCCAGGAAACCTTGAAAAATGGTCACGTATATTTATTAAAGAAACAGATCAATAAATAATGCAATCTCATTAAGCATAGCTTTTAAAGTCAATTCCATTGTGAACCCTGTTATCTGTGCTGGTGTATCTACTCAAGCAGATTTGTAAGTGGCTCCTGAAGGCCTGCAGTAAACACAAGCTCTTAAACGCTAGAGTCTATCCCAGATTACCAGAGACAGGCATAAGTCAATACTGATGACAGGTCTATTTTAATTTATTTTCTCAGATATCTTTGTTTATCTTTCTGAAGAAATGCTTCACTGTTTTTAAAGCACAGAACTGCAAACGGTGACTCTTCCTTTGAAAGAAGGGCTGTTGTTACTTTTAGTTAACAAAGAAAGCAGGAGTGCCCTCATGTATTCCAAAAGACAGGAAATCCGAATGATCCTCTTGCTTCCCTGACCTGCCTGCTTTTATAACAAAGCCTTTCTGTGGTGTCATGGGTCTTTCTATCATGGCTGGGTTCTGACAATTCCACAGAATTTGCAAAAGCACTGCTCATCAAAGTATTTGATATTTCAAACAGAAACCTAGGCCAGCGGTAGACAGCTGATTAGGAAGCAGAGGGAAGCTCTTTTGGGGAGACAGGTGCTCAGTGATATGTGATGGGGTAATCAAAGTTCTCAGCAGAGAAATCCTGAAAGGGCAGATATTGATCTAATGCTTCTGAAAGCTGCACAGAGCAAAAAAAAAAAAAATGTTACTATCTGTCTAACATGTGAAATTGAAATGGACAGGGTTTTCCCCCCCTAAAAACAAGTGCTTATAAACACCGGAAAGCAGAGTTAAAAGCTCTGTCTCCAAGCTCTCAAACACAGGAAGAAAAAAAAATTTTTTTAAGGTGATGTTACCAGCTGGTCATGGAAAAGCTCACCACTGTAGCAAATTAATTGTTAACTGTCTTCATCCCTGATTAGGCTTGAATTTCTCATTAGATTGTGGCATGGGTGCTCATTTTACCAGTCAGGTGACCAAGACCATTTGTAAAGCACTGGGTATCAAGTTGCAATTCCACAGCCCTTTTCAGCCACAGAATTGCATTTATGTAGAGTAGCAGAACTGAGATATTAACATGCAACTGGCTAAAGTTACTGCCCCCAATGGCCTTTGATGGCCAGAGGCTTTCCTGCATGTTCTAATGGGAATCAGAACCATTCTTAGCAGGAAGCATGGCTTCTTTCCCTTTGAAATTGTGTTCAGCTGGCCAGTGTAGGGAGTAACCAGCCTAATCAGCTGCCTGTAAAAGGAGACCACACTAGTCTGATGAAGTGCTCACTAAATGACTTTAGTCTATTTCTACAGAAGTGAAAGTGACAGTCCAGCCTTCCACCTTGACAGATGCCATACCCTGAAGCCTATTAACTATGTCCTCATCTGTGAATACCACAGAAAGGATTACCTGACAGCTCAGTGGATGGGAACCTACCAAGTATTGCTGACAACCAACACCACCGTGAAGTGCAAGTGTCAGACTATCTGGGCACACTCGTTGCATTGCTGGAGAATTTCTCTCCCAGAGGATTTGCTGCCTGGCCCCACTTGACCCAGGAAGAACCTAGTCAGGACTCTTCCAAATTCCAGAATGAAGGACTGGCTGAAATATGGTTGATTTATCCTTGAACTATCTGAACTATGGCAGTGACACTGTGGAATACTCTGTTCCAGCATGATATTGTTTTGTATTGCAAAACCTTTCAGCCTGTTAAATGACTTATCCTAACTTACCTCTGTATGGGGTGGGGTGGGTGCAGTGGGGTGCTTGGCTTAAGAGTTTAATAGAAGATTCATTTATCAGTTAGAATGTAGCTGCAATACTTCCCTTTCCTCTTCATCCTTTGATCTAAAATCCACTTGGACTGCAGTAGTTTTTGGAAATACCATCTCCAGCATTGCCAGCACATAGATTACTTAAATTGATGTATAAAAGTCCCTGGGTTCTTCTTTGTTTGTAGAAGTAAAGTGCAAAAACTTACCTCTGGGACGGAAGGAGACTAGTAGGTTTGGGTGGTTATATCCCAATGTCATCCTAGTCCAGGAATTAACCTCTGAGCACTTACTTAATATGGATAGTTTTGCCTATTGGGCACGGAGAGCCACCTCCATCCTTTACAACATTTCTATACTAGAAATTTGAAATTCTGGATTCCACCAATTCAGAAGGGCAATCTTCCCCAGGTTGGGCATCTGGGAAATCTAACAGCCTTTTCATAAGATTTTTGCTAATTTTGAACTCATTGCTAAAGCCACCATTTATTCCACAGAAAGCCTTTGGGGTAAAGTGTCTTCTTTATCTAAGATAGTTTTACAAAGCCCTGGATATGCTCATGGCCGCTCAGGGAGGTGCTTGAGCTCCTCTGGAAGAAAAATGTTGCTTTTATGTGAACAAGAGTGGGAATCTAGAACAGAATGCTCAAATGTTGAAGGGCATTAATAAGTTTTTCCATGAGGCAGCAAATATAATCACAAATAGTTTTGGGGGATTTTTATGGCTAAAGTCACCTTTCCCTAATCTTGGAGCATAGAGAAAAATAACATTGGATTGGATACTTGTGTTTATATTCATTACATTTATCTTATGTGCAGATAACCATGAGGCTGGTTATTCGTTTAGTGTGCTTTATACTTCTATGATGGAATATAAGATACCTTACCTCATACTTCCCTTCATTCTCCATCTTAATCTTTTCAATATCCAGTAAGAGTGACCAGACTTGACCTCGTACTTGGAGGGGGATCCCTTTATAAATTCTGCGGAACATCTATAAATACCAAAAGAAAAAGAAAAAAAAAGTGAGCGTGATCATAGTCTGATCATCAAGAGCTAACGAAAAACTATCTAGGCAATTCTGAAACTAGTTATCTCATTTTATATTTCTCCTGAATTTCCTTCAGTGATGCAACCTGGCATAATTAACATATTATGCACAGAAAGAAATCTGTGTCTTAACATTTGAAGCACAGCATTAGTAGACTTTTTCATTTCAAATATTCTGAGTAGTTTATCAGATGACTCAAAGTTTGGGTGGAGAACCTGTCCAAAAGAAGGAAGTTTCAGTCAATATGCATGTTCATTTACATTTAATTAATGTGATTTGTGTATAATTTGTCACAAAAGTATATCTTGATGAGTCATTGCAACACTAGTGTTGGTACAATATGAAAGCACCTGCTGATGCATCACTGACTCCCCCACTCCCAAGACTGAATATAAGGATTTTTTTCATTCACTTTTAAAGAGAAATGTGTTATTTAAACCAATGGCTAAGATCTTAACTTCTTTTCTAAGAATTAACATTTAGAATTCAGGGCTGTTTCATCATTCATTTCACCCAGGCAGTATTTTGTACTCAGGATACTTGAAGAATTTTCTCTTTATGAACTGAAATCTAAACCAACCTCATCTACATCTCCTAACCTGCAGATCAAACTGTATCTTTAAAATAGGCATTTAAATCTGACAATTTTTCAAATTTATTTTGTGAGGGAGCATATGCAAACACACACAGGTTGGAAATGGACTGATTCATCCATTTCAATCCTCCAAAAATTGTACCTCCACCTTGTGGGAATGGTGAGAGTATTATGTGGTATGGGTAATATGAGTGGTGAATGGCAAAGCAACTTTGAATGTAAGCCACTATATTTTGTTTTATACATTATTAGTAGAATATTTTAAGTTGTACATCTAACCTAACTTCTATTTTGGCTAATTAGTATGAATAATAATGTCATAAATGTAGCCTGTCCAAATGACCAACAAGAATATCTAAATATAGAATAAAAGAAATCCACTTAACCTTTGCTCAAATCTCTTGGTTATAGCAATAATGGAAAAAGTAAAAGAGGTTGCATTGCTCCAATAGTGTCTGTATGCTTGTACAAGTGCTTGCAATTCAGACAATTAGCATAGGCAAAGTCCTAGTATAATGAACTCATTATGAGTTATAAAAAATGCTTGTACAATTAGAATCAAACTATTGGATTTTGCTACCAAAGAAGGGGGACCGAACAGAGTGTGCAAACTATTGTACAATATCCTTAATTTCACACTCAAGCAAAATAATGCCTACGATCATCCAATGCAGATTACAGCCCTACATGGAAAGGGAGATGTCAGATGTTGAAGCTGGGTTTAGAAAAGGCCAAGGAATACGAGACATTACTGCTGATGCATGCTGGAGAATTGAGAAAGTCAAAGAATACTACAAAGAAGTCAGTATATATTTAATTGATTGTTGAAAGGCCTTTGACTGCGTTTATCATGTCAAGCTGTGGAGTGTGTTTAAAAAACAGGAATTTCAGCCTTAGAAGTGAGAAGGAAGATACTTAAGTGATGGCTAGCTTCTGCCTTTTAGGATCAACTATAAGCAGTAAAGGAACCACCAGTCAAGAAATACACCACAGACTACTGTAGTACTTGGTAGAGTAGCAATGAAGGCCCTGGAAAAAATATTCAGATGCCAGGATGTGCTTATACCTACAAAGATCAGAACCATGCAGGCAATGGTTTTCTCTGTGAAGTTCTATGGAATTGTTAGCTGGACTCTGAAGAGGCAGGATAGAAAGAGTTTTGAACTTTGGTGTTGGAAAAGACTTCTTAGAATACCAAGAACAGCCAAAAACAAACAAATGGATTATCGAACAAATCAACCCAGAGTTCTTACTCAAGGCACAAATGACTAGATTCAAATTATCATACTTTGAACAGATTATGCAAAGACCTAGCTTTCTGGAGAAGTTTATATTGCTGGAACAGGTAGGAGGAAAGAAAAGAAGAGGATGACCAACAGCAAGGCAGATGGAGTCAATTACAGCAGTGATGGTACACTATTGAAAGACCTAAAGGACCAGGTTGGGGACATATCCTCCTGGAGAAAATCTATGTGGTTGCTAAGAGTAGACACCAATTTGATGGCATATAATCAATAATCAATCAACTGTTTTTTTACAATTTAGCACACATACACAAACAAAATAGTTTTTGTTAGTGGCTTTATATAAGAGGATTAACACCACTGGACTTAACTACAATAGCTAATCTGTAATTCCTGCTTCTTTCATCTCTCCCTCTCAGGTTCTCTAAAAATTCTATGACATGTAAAAATCACACAAATTAAGCACAGATAAATATATTATCTCTTTTAGTGATTTATGTTACTTCTAATTCTTATAAACCTACTCCCTCCACAATTTTAATCATACACACCATCAAGCTTCTAACATTTCACACCTTACCCATAAATTTCCAAGTATACTTATGTACTCACAAAATAATATAAGTGGATGGTAACCTATGAATGCATATATACAGTATGTTAATGTTTAAGGTGTCTTAAGTTGTTCTTGCTTCAAGAGGCTAGCATGGATACCTCATTGGAATCTGCTTTCTGATCATAGCACAATTTAATCTTTTTCTGAAAACATATCAGTCCTAAAACAACCAAGAGGATTAGGTGATCCTTTTGAGTTTTTCCAATCTTATGAATTAACTTTTGCAGTACGATATCCAAAAGTTGCAGCCATTTCAGGTCATTGATGTTTGATGTATTCAAGGGCAACAGCGTGGAATAAAGGTAGATCTAAATCATGAGGCATCATCTGTCAAGAAATTCTCCTATGTCAGAGCCAATAAAATGCACAGGAGTTATTGAAGAGGAGACTTTACCATGTACAGTGGGGCAAAAAAGTATTTAGTCTGTGTATGTAGTTAACTTCATAACCATTATAACTTGACTTTATGATATACTGAATGCTGAATGTAGAAGAATGAAGTTGGCTTGAATGAGGAATAGAACAGGCAAAACAATGAGAAATATAGCCAGAGCTGTGAATAAGCTCATAAATTCATTGATCAAACCGTCAACTTTCCAAGGAGTTTCATAAATTGGAACAAGTACACAAAAAATTAACCCAGTCACTTCTTTCTGCATATTAGGATGTTTTCTTGGCTGGACATTTACAATAATAAAATTTTAATTGCAACATAAAATTAACTGAAGTGCTATAATTCACTCTCTTACACAAACATACACACAGAAAACACAGATGGCACTATAATATGGATACATCTCTCCTTTTATGTGGGCTTAAGATCAGATCTCTGCTACAATGCTTGCAAAAGTCAGAAAGTCAGGCCAAACATACTGTATGTATATATTTTCCCTACAAAGTGCACAATTACCATACAATATTCAGACTATTAAAATTTAAAACACGAAGCAACAGTAAATGCAGAATTACGGAAACAGCAACCACAAGAAAAGGAAAAAAAGAACAGTAAAAAATCCTGTGCTTCCTTGAGAAACAAGTACAAAACTCTAAACTGTCACTCAAATACAGTAAGTGAAATGTAATGGACTTTTCCTAATGTGCTTCCTAGCCAAAAAAGCTGGGCACTTTTTTATTATACAGAAAGTAACCTCTCTGATATTTACCTTCATTAAGTAATAGAACAATTCCTTCACCTGTAATGATTGTCTTTCCCACTTCTTCACCTCTATCACCATATTTTAATGCTTAGATGATTCAGGCGAAGCAGAACAAAATACCTATCACTCGGAGATAATTCTCAAGGTTAAATTACATATATTCTTTCCCCATCAACACAATAGGCTTGGCTTATTCTTATTTTATTCTATTTCATTTTAGTGTCCTAGATTTATAAAGCTCTTGAAGGAAACATCTTAAATGTAGTTCAGATTTTAACTACAGTCTCCTGTTCTGATCCTTCATCATGGATTTCCTTTAGCTGAGACTTTTATTGTACAACTGTTTATTTCATTCATAAAATGTTGGTATGAGTAAATGAGTAAATCTATTTTTAATCTTATTTTCCCAATATATTTCTTCAAGATCTGTTTGTGGAGGGTAAATAAAAGAGCTACACAACCCCTTTCATTAGTAGTGCTAGGAGTTGTCCAACTGGAACTCTCAATTTTCCTTGCAATAAAGAGACAAGCAAAAGATTGTAATATTATTAAAATGTGTCACTGTTCTGTTCCTTACCTTTTCACTGTTTCTGTATTTTACCCATTTCTTTAACATCTTCAGCCATTTGTCCACTCGTTCAATCTCCTGAATTTTTTGCTGGAAAAGAGTTTTAAAAGTGAAGTTAATGAGAATTTAGGGAGAAAGGAAAGATGGAAACATAATGTCCAGGTTAATAGACTACAGACTCATATGGTTTTTATAATATAAACAAGCAGGAGCTTTATAGTGGAGATCTAAGGAATTACTCAATTTCATTTATTCTCTGTTCTAGAAAGTAATAACTTAATTTATATGTTCTTCATCAGTTCATTATCTTGAACCTTGTTCTAAATGGAGGCTGTGCATTGTTGATTAACTAGACAGCACCATATTATTGTACTCTGAAACCACAGCTCTGAAGAGCAAAAAATGTTACTGTAACAGCTAAATGAAAGATGACCATAATGCCTATTAGAACTAGTGGTACCAGATCTCCAACAGTGGGGTGCTGAGTCTCCTTCAATCAAACAGATTTCCAATCTTAATAAATCATGTTTCTATAATCTGTAATTCATGTTTCTATAACTATATATTCCAGCCCCAATCATTAATGCCTGAATGCTCTTCTGAAAACTGCTAGTTACATTTGCTAGAGTTCCCAATTAATCCCATAGATTTACAATGCTCAGCTTTTGAATGCATTTTAGAACAGACTGTGTTTATTTATAAAAATTATATACTCCTTTTCATTTTGTCCAAATCTCAGATTTCTAAGAATTCCAATATTCTGTTTGCTGGGAAAGATGAAAAGCACGTCACTCAAAGTAGTTTTGCTGGATGTCTACTTAAGAATGTTAATGATTCAACAAAGTAAATCTCTTTCACCTCTATGCAACAGGACTTAACCATATATTATAGCTTATATTTGATCATCATGATGGATCCTATATAAATTCCACTTAGCATCTCATTAGATGTCATCTAATCATCTCAATCATAACTTGTTCTATTATTTTTCCAGCTTCTGCAAACAACCCACAGTACTCAAGAATCTGTCAGACATTATAAGTCTCCACAAATGGACCATTTTAACCAATGTTCTACCCATGGAAAGGTAGAATGGAGCTGATTTTATTAAACAAAGATCACCAAAAAATGATAAGTTAAAGACTATCAGAGAACGTTGCTCCTTTGTACTACCAAATCATTCTTCTCACACATAGGAGAAAAAAATGAAGTGAGTTCAATCTACACTGCCCAACTTGTCTATTTATGTTCCAATAATGGATCAGTTATGTTCACTCATCCATGAACAAATCATGGTTATGTTGGATAAAATCTCATTGATTTTTTTTCCTGACAATGCTTCATCCTAAGATCTAAGCATCATAATCTAGTTATATCTTCCCAAATTCTGTATTTATGTTACAGATAAATATGTTTCAATTTATACAATTAAGAATCTTTAATCAGATTCTTTTGTTAATAATTACACTGTCTTTCATTTTTCCTATTAAAAACTAAGTAGCAGTTTCCACTCCACCAATTATTTTACAAAATATAAAGCTTGCAGAATTTACCTTTTCCTCCAGAGCACTGTGAATTGGTAACTCATGCTCACTGAAAAAAGTAAAAAAAAGTCAGATTGAACTAATGTGTGATATAAGAATGCATAAGGAAATACAAGACAGATATCTGAAGTTATGCTCAAAAGAGATGGTCAGAAACTAGCTGATATATTGGTTGTCTTTTTTTGTTAACTTGGATATTTAGTTAATCAAAATTCAGAATGAGTGCCTAAATCAGTGACGTGTGAAAGAAGCATCATATATTATAATATGATAATATAATATAAAATATTAGAGAGCCAGTTTGGTGTAGTGGTTAAGGTGCTGCCTAGAAACCAAAGACTGTGAGTTCTAAGCCTTCCTTAGGCATGAAAGCCGGCTGGGTGACTTTGGGGCAGTCACTCTCTCTTAGCCCACTCCACCCCAGAGGATTGTTGCTGTGGGAAAATGGGAGGCAGGAATATTAGGTATGTTCATCTCTTTGAGTTATATATAAAAAAAGGAGGGATAAAACAACAACAACAACTCTTATAAGCTCCTGCTTTTAATGGATAAAATTACGCTGAAGTCTGCTCAGGCAGCAAACATTTACTTCCTCTTGAGTCCTCCAAATATGTGCTCTAGTGGGTCAGTCAGAGGATACATGGGGGTTGTTGGGTAGGGGGAAGGAGATGAGGCTGATACACTTAGTGTTTTGCTGAGAGAAGCAGTTCTGCCAGCAAGGGACCTTAACTGGATCATACTGTATAACAGTATAATTTCTATAACAGGGATCACCAAATGAAAAGCTTGGGATATTTCCAAATGCAAAAACCCACATCTCTTCAAAAGGATAACCACAGAAATCTGGAACATTTCTGAATGCCATTAAAGGATTTTCATGGTTTTCAGGAACTCTGATTATACTAGAATTTTTTAATATGCCTGCATGCAGAGGGCACATATGTTAATTCTGAGAACCAAGCCTTGTCAGACCTTTCCTACAATATGATGGCTGAAGCTTTTATATACAAGATAAAAACTTTTTTGCTTTGACTTGCTCAGGTAGACTGAAATGGCAAGTACAGTCACATGGCAATGATAAGTGAAGGATGATCTAAGGCACGGAGTAGCCACAACACAGTCATGTCAATAAGATGCATACCTGTTTCAGCAAAATATTAAGGGGATCACAAAGGAGAACTTACTGCAAAAACCCAAATCTGTCTGTAACTTTGTAGAGAGCAAAGTCAGCATCTTCCCATGGATCAATCTGAGTTCCATCTTGCCTTCCCTGTAAAATAAAGGAAAGTGGCACAATCAAGCTCCCCATAGAAGAGTCTAACAATATAAAGATTTGTCACACTGGTGGTAGTTTAAAAAGCAATATAAGAAATTATGAAAATAGTACCTGATGCATTTTAACTCATGTAAAACTGGTCTTGCGACCGATAGACAGACAGACAGACAGACAGACAGACAGAGTCTTGTACATAATCAGGTAATATGCGGATATCAGTTATTTTTGCACAGTGGCATCAGCTTATCATGTGCTAGTGTACTGCATACAATGCTTTCTAGCCATGTGCCTGCAGATATGGCATTGAACATGCAGTCCTTACCAGTACCTTTCACTATAAAGCTGGGAATGATCTTTTAAAAGGTTATACTTTAATGCCTCCACATACACATAGCCCCCAAACAAGTCGTTTTTTGCAAACTGGGTTTTCCAACAGTCTGCTACCAATAAAACATTGTATGCTTGCCTCAATGGACAGAAACAGCTGTCATAAAAGCAATTTCAAGGAATGATCCACGTTGCCATTGCATTGTGAAATGCATTCTTCTGAACAGCTGGATGGCTGGCTAAAGACTGAGATTCCTGCTTTGTGCATATAGTCAGGCTAGCTGAAATTCTTTCTTAGAATTAGCACATATATGGACAAAATAATGCCTATACCTTCTCATACTTAGCAATGATTTCTGTCCTTTCTTCTGCTATTAAAGCATCTATATCTTTCTTCATGTCAAAAGCTGCAAGAAAAAGAAATATTGGGCAAAAGGTAGACAATATATATAGCACAGGGTTTTTGTTTTTGTGTAAAGGTAGTAAAAAAGTGGTTGCCAACAATTAAAGCACTTACAAATTAAACTCGGCCTGATAAAATAAAAAGAACATTTATATATTGTTTATAATCATATGATAAACACAGTTTGAGTTTGAGCAAATTAGTATATTTGAATGTTCTTCTTTGTAGGAATGAGACAATTAACATTAGACACAGATACCAACTCAGTTCAAACAATTTTTATCTTAATTATTTCAAATATTAAAAACTATAGGAATATGCTAATTCTGCCATATATCGTTCCAGATTGCAGTTAGTTCTGGGGCACAGTTCAAAGTGGATCTTAGAATTTTGTTAACCTAAGCCCCTCCCTATGCTCAGTGGGGCTTACTTTCAAGTAAAAAGTATAGCAGAAAGTTAAAAGTAGCCTTAGTACAAAATATCTAACAGGTGTCTGTTCCAAGGCTTTTCAGAAAAGCCTGGTGTAAGTGTGTTAAAATCCTTCTGAGATTACATAGCAATCTCCCTGTGGAGTTCTATGCTTAAAGAAGCCCTTCTAACTGCCAACTTTCTTAGGCTATATACCATCTTTCTAATTTGATAGGCTTCTAGCAAATTGTTCCTATTTCCAATTTTACACTGCATGTTACTGATGCATTTTAAAATGGTTTAAATTTGGATATATTTTATACTGAATTTAATTGTTTCTAAACTGTTTCAAGAGCATGCAAAAGGCCATGAGAGTGTGAGCCATCTTAACCTCATGTGGCAAACTATCATAGAGGAGGGGAGCTCCCACAGAGAATAAGAAAGTTCCCCACTACTTTGCTCTTTAGCAGTTGGTGGATTTTTATTGGGCTCGCAAGATAAGAAGAGTTGTCAGTCATCATCAGTACTTGGAGGGGAGGCCTCCAGAAAATACCAAGGCAGTAAGCTAAACTGGAAAACTGAAAAACCATTCTGCAAGGAAGTAATAGCAAACAGCTTCCTTATTGCTGCCAAGAAAACTAAATGGACCTAGTTAAATCAAACTCACTTTGAAGAAGACTTTATCTTGCCACAGAACCAGGAGGATCACAGTCAAGCTTAATACTCATCCCCTATTTGTCATCAGCGTTCATTTTGTCCTGTCCAAACACAATTTTACGTCAAAATCCTACAAAAAGTAAAATAAGCGAATGTTGCACACCAAGGGATGATGGCTCTTACCTAAGATGGCTGGTATGTCTTACACTGCACCTGTTGAGGCTACGGATGGCCTCTCCCTCTTGATGCTACCCAGCAGGAAACATTCCAAATGCACAACACGTGCCTTCAAAACTGCTCCTCCTTTTGCTGCTGATGGTTTCAAGCAGTCTTTAGGTTGGTCATTCCCACTCTTTAGCATGCATTCCACAGTTTTGAAGTCCTATCTTCATTTGGTTTCTCTACAAAAGTATTGGTCATTGGTCAGTTAAAAGAAATACTTCTATAAATGTTTTTCCTAACATTTGATTCTTCTACTGATTTGATCAAAAGGAATCAGACAAAGTAAAATGCGTTTAACATACCATACTCAAATTCTCCTTTCCATTATTTACCCTCTGCCTACAACAAATGGTAAATTAGAAGTGTACTCTATGAAACACTCAAGGGAGTGGCTACAGCATACAGGTAGCATATTTTCTACCATTTTGAAAATGGAAATCTCATTATGACTTGGCTGACAGTCACTTGATATAGTCTTCCAGAAATTGGAAGAAGAAAGTGCCAGCTCCTTGGTAAACATCCACCAGAATTTGGGGCTCTTTCAAAAATAATTAATATGTTTTATAACCTTATGTACTTAGCTTTTTTGTCTATGGATTATTCATGAATATAACTTATGAACACACTTTTATTCTGTATTTTCTGTTATCTAGGCTTCAACATACGTATTTCACAGGCAGCTATATAAAATATGGCAATGGGAAGTAACTCATTAAGAAATTTCAGGAAAAGGCTCAATTCATTGTAGCTCTGTACAAGACTATTATAGATTGTTATATTTGAAGGTCACAAACTCGAGCAATTGTGAAAAGCACTTTATACAATTTACTCCATGCATGGGCCTTTGAGTCAATCTTGACTCCTGGTGGCTACATAGACTGGGTTTTATTAGCTAAATGCAAATTTAAAACAGAAAAAAAAACCTTACTCCTTATATAAAAGCCCATGTAGTATCCAGTTCATCCAAAATTTGCATATTGTGTGGTTTCTGATTCAATTACACAGGCTTTTGAGGTACTTGAATGAATTTTGTAAATAGCATTATAGTAGTAAAAAGTTGTCTTTTGTTGTCTTTTATTTTAGTTAACAATGGAAGCTCTCATTGATTTTACCAGATGCCTGGGATGCTAGCTTAAAAAAATGAGGAAATATTACAGTTGCAATTGTGAGAAGGCAGGGAGAAGTGAGGGCCTCAAACGAACCATGTTTGCTAGGGGAGAGCGCTGTGCACCATGGG